ACCTTTATCAAAATGCGAAAATTGGCGGCCTCTTATTTCGTGGACAAGGTTTCCAGCATTGGCTATCTTCTCCCGGATAACACTCATATATATCGGATCCACTTCCTCATCTTGAGCAACTCCTGAAACGTAAGCGTATGTTGCTTCAGAAGAGCTGCTACATGGATAGACGATCATAGACCACAATAATACTGCATAGTATCAAAATGAAGCTGGATTGCATTTTTAAATTCAATAGCAGCTACCTTGTTTTCCTCCTCCACTTAAAGCATCCAGACGCTCCGATAAGTCATCGAACTCGCCTTTTTGGCGAAATAGAGGTATGTACATGCAAATATCATACATTAACTTACTTTTTGGCATATTCGTTGACGATAATAATCAAAAAAGTCGTCAAAGTCATAAAAATCAAACAGCTGCAGCGCAACTGTAAATTATAACAGTAAATCATTACTGTTAATATTGGTAATGTATGTGTGCATAAATATTAGTCAAGAAGAAGCTAGTCTTTAAAAACTTTTCTTGTTTTAGCAACTGCTCATCATTATGGTTCCAGAGCCGCACGTTATATAATCCCCTCAACTTAATGTGTAGTCATATTGAAAAAGAGCAAAACTATTTTCCATCACTATGGGGACGTAAAGATAAATGGGAAGTCCGTTGCTTTTGCACTACAATTTAGATAAAGCCGAAGGCAGATCGCTGCAAATGTGCAGCTGATGTCTCAGTTCTTGGTGAGCGCCCTTGCGATTCATTCAAAACATGCGCTATCAGCAATGAATGCACATTATAATATTCGGAATTCGTTCACTTTCTCAAAAGCACGCTATTTTTTCACGAATAGCTTCCACTTGCATAACTATAATCTGGTAGAACTGTACTACACTGAGAAAACCTACTTGGGTGGTTTTACACACCACATGGCAGCACTCAAATCGCTCAAAGCACATGAGTTGTTCTGAAGCTGCTGAGGATGTATGCCAAATAAACGCCTGTCTTCACCGCGTGTGTTCAGGGGATGTCTGAAAAGGTGCAATATGAAACTTCATACGGGTAACGACGCTTCAGCACTTGGAAGAAAAAAGGCAATAAGCGAACACGGACAGGCGATAAGCGACGTAGTCCAGAAACGGCTCCGCTCCAAGATCGTCTTCTTGTTCTAATTTGGCTTTGATCTCCTTCAGACGTGCCAGTTCCTGAGATGAGCTGGGAATGTCCTCCAACCCTTACTGAACGTGTTTATCAAAATCAACCTCCTCCATACGTTGCAGCTTTTCCATCAGTTTCCTTTCCAGGTCTGGTTCAGGGACACCCTAAAGAATTGCAAGCTCTTTTCTTATTGAAACGCCTTCCGATTCTAACCATACCTCGCCACGAACATTCATCATGTAGTCTTCATAGATCTTTCTCATTTCATCATTTGGCCTCGAACAGAACTGGGCGGAAAAGTCATAAATTATGAGATGTAGCAAGAGTGGAACTTGTCAGACTTACACCTTCAACTGTTTCTGGACAAACAATGTCGTTGGGATACTTCAGAAATGTGTCGAAAGTCTCTATACCATCCTGAAAATTAGTTATCCCTAACGGTAAGCCACTAGTGTAGTGTTCTAGTTGTAGTTGTCCTAGTCCGAATGCACGAGCAGAAGAGCACTTTGCTCGATTTTCATGCGACCAGGCAACTGGCAATGACAAAACAGCAGTGCACGATGAAAGTATGAGGGAATGTTGTCTGTTCTTATTTTTGATGATGAAGTTAAGAACACATTCCATATCAAATACAAATACTCAGTATAAGCAGCCCCGCTTATTACGTACTTTATTCAAAGACTTACATCTTCAACATGCTCTTCGATACAAGGACGTGGCACCCTTTTACGGACAGATGTAGATTGTGAAACCTTCCGTCTTGAACCGCGGGCGGGAAGCGAATTACATTCTCGCAGCAGAGACCGTCTGAAACTGGACATTTTTTCGAGTTTTCGAGTATATTCACGGACCCCTACTGAACTGCAAAACCAGTTGTTAATTGCAATGAGAACTTTTTACACATTAAGGGAAGCCATAGGTTCATAAATATAGTTTGCTGGCCATTTATACGTTGATTTGCAACATAAAGAAATTTGAAGGCGGTGTGTTCAGAAGATATATCATGAGATTCCGAGATTTCAGGATTCATCTACTCAAAGGCTATATCCCTTATCAATTGGAGTGACAACCGAACCTTCGGTGCAACTTTTTGTCCTCAACACCCATAAAATGTAGCCCAGCTGTTTTATAATTCCATTTCTGCGACAAGATGATTGAGAAAGAAACTGACGTTAATTTTCTGCGACTTGCACGTGACATCCTTTCTTCGAATTCCTCTTCATCACTGTTGTCTTTTAGCTCAAATTCATCTCCTAAAGGACAGCCCTCGCATACGGTGGCAATGGATATAGCAACGAAATGGAGAAAAGCGTGAAAATTTTGTAGAAAACAATTTTTGAGTGCTCGCCAAGACCAAAAAGTTACCGGAACTGCTTGACGAGTCCTGATCAGGCTTTTCGGGTGTCATTTTAGGAGATTCCAGCTTGATTGGAATTGTTGCTTCCCTCTGAGGCCTATTTCTAAGACGTTTGGAAATACTTTCCTCATGTACATCTCTCACTTGGGATTGCTCAGGTTCAGCCTTCGAAATGCGCTTATTCTCCTTAAACAAAGTGCATCTTTCACAAGAACGACCACTAAACATAATTAATGGAACACCTTTCCCTTCACATATTTGGCAGGACGTCCGCGTTTAGCTTTCGTTGCAGGTTTCTCATTCCAATCCACTTCAGACATCAACTTTTCCAAAAAGCTAACATCGTCGTTGTCCGCCTTGAAGCAAAATTAGGCTTCTTCATTATAGTTAACCACAAATACCATAAAAAATTAACACTCACGACGGACTTGTAGAGCTGGCTCGGTTCTTGGACATTTTCCCTAAAAAAATGAGCACTCAAACCTGATGAAAAAGTCAGGTCAGGATAGGATCTTGTCCACTTGACATAGAAAAGGCATTCTGAGCGACCGTGCAGGATTATTTAAAGATAAACTAAAACGCACTGAACTTCAGGGGGTTCTTGCTTAATCACTTTTTTGGATGCCAGACGTGGCCCTCTAGCGGCAGCAGCTGAAGAATCAATGAATTTAGGCTGAACCGAATTACTGAATAACGCTTACGTTTCTTAGAAGTTCCTGCTACGTCAGAGTCAGAAGGATCGATTTTCTTAGGTTTTCTGCGGACCTGAAAACCTCAATTCAGGTATACGTCCAGACCGTCCAGCAATATAGTTCTATCAATTGATGTTAAAGAGGTTGAATCTGAACGTCAGTGTGCGGAAGCCAGCTGCCTATTTTATCGCCACTGATGATCAATTACAACAGTATCGACCTCCATAAAAGTCGAACTGTGACGCTTGTCTCCTTACTTGAGTAGTTCGACTACTTCAAAACATCAAATGACCACCACATCAGAAGAAGCATATCTGGCTCATGCAATATTTGCAATGTTCGTGCGCACAATGACGTGATACTTTGGAGCTATTATTCGTAACTCGTTATATCAGAAGTGAAAGAAAAACAAGC